CAGAGCTGGGGTTGCAACTATGTCACTGGCCTTACAAATCACAGTGACTGGTGTCACTCAGTGTGGTGACAGTACCTGGGCATGTGGTCATCTCCAGAGCCATCCACATACTGGAAGCCCTTTGAGAAGTGGTATTCCTCTGGGAGCGCTCTTTGGCATAGCAAATGAGGAAAACTGCACTCTGAGGTTCTGTATTTGCAAGAATAATTTATAAGCAAATAATGCACATTTCGTCCTTTGCCATTCTTCAGTGCTGTGCAAGGCGTCTTGAATTTCTTTGGTAGCTTTTCCAGAAAGACCAATTGACTTCACATTTCTCGAATTACAGTAAAGGCAGAGAATCTGAGGCCCTGGGAGAGCAGCTGATGACTGATGACTGAAGCCACCATGGGCAGGGAGGCAGGGTTTGGGGACAGACTCCAGATTCCCATAGTCGCCACACGACCCTTTCCCAAAGAAGGATGCCAGACTCCTCTCAGCTCTGTGAAATCCAGGGACTTCCTTCTAGAATTCTCCCTGCCTCTCCCTCCTCCTCGCTTTGGCCAGCTCCCAATCCCACTTTGAGGAAACATTCGCCCCGTTGCCCAGGTGCCCAGTTTTCCTGTGAGGAAGCTGTCCGTGTGTACTTTGTCAGAGAAATCTTTGGCAATCTACCAGTTTTGCTCACAGTCTGTTGAAGTCTGTATGGCATGTGCCAAGGCTAGGATTTAGAATCAGGGCACCCAGGTCTGATTCGGCCTCCAGAGCCAGACCTCACGCTGCCTGCGACCTCCTCAGAGCCAAGGAGGGCAGGTGAAAGGCGGCGCCCTCTTCCCGCCTTCTACCCACAACCCTCATGGTCAGAGACAGCCACCAGGGTCTGTGTTTCCCGCAGGTCATCTGGATGTCAGCATGGCAGCCACAAACCTGGAGAACCAGTTGCACAGCGCCCAGAAGAACCTCCTCTTCCTTCAGCGGGAGCATGCCGGCACCCTTAAGGGGCTGCATGCCGAGATCAGGCGACTGCAGCAACACTGCACAGGTACCTGGGCCCCGCGCGACCCCCCGGAGTAGGGCCCTCGGCCCGCCCAGGGCTGCAGAGCAAAGCAGGACCTGTTGTCGGGACTGTCTGAGACAGCGGCCAGCGCAGAAGCTGTGCCAGGTCACTCGGGAGTGGGGCAAAAAGGGGTTTCACTTCTCTCTGACCTCGTGAAGCCCATCACTGGAGTCTCTCTCAAGGTCTTCCCTTCTCCCCTGACCAACCAACACGCGTCACGCGTAAAGCTGCAAAGCCATTTCTTGGCTTACTGAGGGCTTAGAAGATCAAAATGCAATGGTTAGGATTTACAATGTACTTTGGAACCGATCGCCGAAGTGTAACACACAGAGCAAGCTGCTTGCTAACTGTGGATGCCAGGGAGTGGCTTAGGGAAGGAGGGTCTCTCTGAGCTCTAGGAAGGACAGTGGCCACTCATGGCTCTGCCATTCACACGCCTGCCACTAACGCGGCCAAATCCTGCTCTGTCTGGGCAGGATTTGCAGGCTAATTGTGGGAATTGGTTCTGCATTTTCAGTGCTGATGAAAGCTTTACAGAATTAACATATATGGTTTCCTTTTTAGATTTAACATATGAGCTGACACTCAAAAGTTCGGACCAGACAGGTGAGAACTTCCTCCCCAAAAGTGAACGGCGGCATTATTTCTGGTTCTGGCACGTGTTGGTGCCATTTGTTCACCAGCTACACATTTAGACGAAAGTACATCTGCTAGGAAGTGTTGCACGTGTGACCAGAGCTTTCTAAGAAAAGATAGGAAGGAAGTTTAGAGCCTGAGATGTTATGACGGCCTGTCAGTGGAGTGGGAGGGAGGAGGGGTTTATTTTCTTTTGGTGGACACATATATTTGGAATGTCTTTTCTTGACTTTGATTTTTCTCCAGCGAACATCTTCCTTCTCTAATCAATAAATTAATGTAATTTAAAGCAGAAAGAGGAGAAGGAGCAGGATCCCACTTCTTTTATTCCTTGAGCCTCACCCAGGGCCTGGCACAGAGTAGGTGCTCCTGACACACTTGATGAGTGAGGGACCAAATGACCAGATCGTCCCCAAAGGACTGTGAATACCTTTCTCTAGACAGCAGTCCCAGAAATGCTTCCCCCTAACCTGAATCCTCAGGGACTCCCAAAGGTATTAGCCTGATGGCAGCTGGGGCAGAGGAGATAGAACAGGGGCCTCTGTGGCCGATGACAATTAGTTGCTCCCTGGAACCGACTTGGGATTTGAAAAGTGCAGAATCCACACTGGAGTCAAGATGTCTTTTCCTAAATAGGCCGCACTCTGGCGGCATCTCCCCTCCCCAGGACTGGAAGTCACTGCTTTACTTTAGTGGAGGCAGAGCCTACATGTCTGGGGGCACGGGGGGAAGATACAGGCTCCTGGACCCCCGCCCCTGGAGGTTCTGATTCCGAGGCTCAGGGAGGGCACCTGAGAATCTATTTAGAAAGTGCCCCGGTGAGGGCACCTGGCTGGCTCGGTTCAGAGAGCGTGTGACTCTTGCTCTCGCAGTTGTAAGTTCGTGCCCCTTATTGGGTATAGAGATTACTTTAAAACAGTAAAAGTGAAATAAGAAAAGGAAGTAAAGTGATGCAGTGACTGAGCGCTCTGGCAGCTGGGGAAGTCTGGCTCTGTGTGATTAAGAACAGTTGCCTCAGCTCAGTGCATGTGCATCTTTTATGGGGAAAGAAGGAATCTTCGAGAAAGGATGCACCTGTGGAGGAGGAGGTAGAGCAGAGTTTCCTATAGAAGGGTGGAAATCAGTAAAATAGGTGGTGTTGATCCCTGGGAACAACGGTCACCAAGAGCCTCTCTCTGGAGTCTCAGGGAGGCAGGGCAGGCAGCCGGAGGAGCTCCTGGAAAGTCGAGAGCCAACAAGCATCGGTCCATAGCCCTGGCTTCGGAGCCCCACTTGGCCCACGTGCCCACGTGAGACGTGCCCACAGACACCGGCTCCCAGCCCGGCACAGGCCCCTAAAGCCCAGGGGAGTCCCTGAGCGGCTAACGGTGGGCACACACGGGGAGGCACAGGCAGACAGGATGAGCAGGGGAACCATGTGGCAGGGAAGGCAGCAGCCTCCCCTCCTGTCTCCTCCGCAGCTTCAGAGCTGTGTGCTCGGCTACGGACGGAGTCTATAGCGGTCTTTCCGAACGGTGCTTGTGGTGGAGCGGGCGCTTAGTGAATGCCGCCCAAGCAGGCAGGAACAAACGGGGAGCAGCTCCCGCTAAGTATCCGCTGAGGGCAGCTAGCCTGGGGTTGCCCGCCGTGACCTCAGCACTTGCGAAGCGCGGAGGCGTCGCTCTGTGCGGTGAGCCAGGGAACGGGGCGCTGCGGGCGCTCAGCCTGCACCCACTGGGAGAGGGCGGGGCGGGGCGGTGGGAGCAAGAGGCCCCGGGGAGGGGAGGCCGGCCTAGCCAGAAGGACTCCTGCCTCCGCGCCGGGGGTGCTAAATCCTGCCTCTCGGCTCGCTCTTCCAGGAGATGGGGCTTCCAGAAGCAGCGAGCTGAAGAGGAAATGCGAGGAGCTGGAGGCCCAGCTGAAGCTGCAGGAGGAGGAGAACAACGAGCTGCTCAAGCAGCTGGAGCAGAAGAACGCCATGATCGCCGTGCTGGAGAATACTGTCAAGGAGCGCGAGAAGAAGTACCTGGAGGAGCTGAAGGTGAAGAGCCACAAGCTGAACATGCTGTCCAGCGAGCTCGAGCAGCGCGCCGGCACCATCGCCTACCTGACCGCCCAGCTGCACGCCGCCAAGCGGAAGCTCCTGAGCGCCGGGGGGGCCTCGGACGGCAGCCCCTCCGGGAGCCCCGTGCTGGCCAGCTACAAGCCGGCCCCCCCCAAGGACAAGCTGCCCGAGACGCCCCGCCGCAGGATGAAAAAGAGCCTCTCAGCCCCCCTGCACCCGGAATTTGAGGAGGTCTACAGATTTGGGGCCGAGAGCCGGAAACTCCTCCTGCGGGAGCCGGTGGATGCCATGCCTGACCCCACCCCGTTCCTGCTGGCCAGGGAGTCCGCCGAGGTCCACCTCATCAAGGAGAGGCCTCTGGTCATCCCCCCCATCGCCTCCGACCGTGGCCCGAGCGAGCAGCACAGCCCGGCCCACGAGAAGCCACACAAGGCTCACGTGGGGGTGGCCCACCGCATCCACCATGCCGCCCCACCGCAGGCCCAGCCCGAGGTGGAGACGCTGGCGGTCGACCAGGTGAACGGAGGGAAGGTCGTGAGGAAGCACTCAGGGACGGACAGAACTGTGTGAAGCCTGCCCCAGGCGACCCTTCACCCTCGGCTGTCGATGCACTGTGATCACTACAAGGAAAAATTCATCCATACTTTTTTTTTTCTTAATTCCCATGCATGCCAAATTTTTTTCAGACCTGTCAACAGATGATTCTTCTCCTGCTCCTCTTGCCCTCTTACACCAAAATACGATCGTGTCCCTGCTGCAGAATACGTATTTACTAATCGCTGTGGCCAAACACCTGTGTGCCGAATCGCTTGCTTCTAATCCCACTCTGTGTACCTCCGCGCGCTCGTGGACAGAGCACAGGCCGCAGGCTCTCTCACTACTCGACGTTAATGAAATTGGATAGTCACACGCCTCCTTATACAGCCGGAGCAACACATGCCGACCGACCTTGACCCCTCGCTCCAGTTTCCAGGGCAGCCCATCCAGAGCAGCCCCCGTTCACTCCTGGAGACCCTGTAACCTCCCGACAAGCCTTTCTTTCCCAGGGCGGCACAGATAGCCGAGCAGCTATAGATGTGTATCTCGGGAACGAAATAAGATGATGTTACTTCTCATACCACCACAACCTGAATGTGTGTTCATATTTTTTGTTAGTTTTATCCAAAATGTTCAAGATCCCAACAAACTTTATTTTCTAAACCTGCCTCTTTCTGTTTTGTGTCTTTTATTAAACCACCTGAGGGAGGAGCTGGGGGGAGGCTGTGGGAGGGGGAGAAACAGCTGGCCACTCCCCCAGTCCCACAGTAACTACAGCATTCTTACCCCATGTTCTCTCCCCCAGCTCCCGCCCCTGAGAAGGCTCTGTGCTTCCAGGTTCTGGCAGAAACTCCTTGTGCCTATGACTGGCCCCTCCCCTCGGCCCTGCAGGTGCTCCAGCGGGCTCTTCCCTTTAGGAGTGTAAAGCCACTCCTGCCCTCCAGCAGGCCTGGACCCCCAGGGTGCATGAAAGGAAGGGATGCCCAGGAGCCAGGCCCAGATGCTCTAAGTCTGCCCCCAATCCCACACAGATCCGGCCAGGGTATGGGTAGGAGCTCATACAGGGATGACATGCCAGCTCAGGGAACTCACCCCTACCTCCACCTGGTAGGTTGGAGCGCTCTGGAAGTGAGCGGGGCTGGCAGCAGGCAACTGTGGCCATCTCTGGAGGGGTGGCCCAGGAAGGAGACTCTGCCAGACCCTGCCCAGCAGCCCGGGACTTTCACCTAATCACACGTCTCCTCTAAGAAGGGAAAGAAAACGACATACCTTAAAATGTTCTCTAGTATTTACTTCTCAAATATGCAGAATCCTTAGAAACAGTTTAACTCTTCAAGTTAAACTTAAGAAACATCTTAATTTCTACAGAAAAAGTAAATCAGCTGATTTCAAATGAAAAGAAAATCCCGTGTCTGTCCACCCCCAGCCGCTCCAGGCCCTGAGAGATGACCGCAGACGTGACCACCACTGCCGAATGCCTACATTTCCACCGCCAGCCACGGACGGAGCTGGGTGTGCAGGTTTCCTGGCCCAGAGGGTCAGTCGGAATTCAGGGTGAGGCACACCCCCTGCAGCACCCAGTGAGAAATGTGCTTGGAGGTGAAGAGATCAGCTTCAAACACCAGGCCAACTCCCATGGCGTTCCTTCTCATGGAGGTGGTGTAAACCGGCGTCCGGAAGGTGTTCTGCAAAGGAGAGGCAAGTGAGGGGCACCACAGGAGGGCAGAGGAGCTCAACGCCGGGCTGTGGGACACTCCGTGTGTGAGCTGATGGTGCAGTGTACACCCCCCCCCAATCCCGGCCGGGCTGCCCTCTGCAGCCGGGCACAGGGCCGCTGCCTGGGGACACGCTCAGGAAAAGTGGGTCCGGGCTGCGTGAGCCAGGAGGACCCTGCTCCCGCCGCCGCCCTGGGTGTAGGGACTTGCGTCAGGCAATGCCCACAAGACGTGATGGGAAGGGAGGCATTTCTCCCAAAGTTAGGTTGGACCACAGCTCGGAGTGTGAAGCCACGCTGCCCGGCAAGTCTCTGCTTACATGCCTGTGCACGCGTGGGTCTTCCTGTGAAGGGACTCCACGCTCTTGCCCTGGCTCAGGGCTTCCCCCACCCATGAAAGGTTAAAAGGCGAGACCATCTGAACCACCCCAAGCGTGCCCCACCCCACCTGCAGTTTGAGGCGATGGGCTTCGATGGGGATGATCTTCAGAATCGGTAGATCGACCACCAGCACCTTGGGTTTGCTCTTGATAAGACATCCTCTTTCTACATCCCAGTCAGCGCCTTCTAGATATAGTCCTGAGACGAAGCATCCTGGAGATACCAGGAAGAGACCGGGATTCATGGGGAGGCGCCAGCAGCTCTCGCGGATGTCCACGGCTCACGCACAGAGACAACCAACCAACTCTCCTTCCCCAGACACAGCCCAGGCCTTCTTCCAAAAGAGGGGACCGTCCTTCCTTCCCTTTGCAGAGCAACAGCCCAAACAGGACACTCTGTAGACCCCACTGAGCCTCCCCCACGGCCTCAGTGAAGAGGACAAGGGGTGGTTGCCTCCCCCAGCAATCTGCTTCAAGGCTCACAGCCCTAGACCACTGGAACCCCCGGGTTATAAAGACAGGAGCACCAGTAGGTACCACAGCAAGGCCAAGTCCGCCGCCCTGAGCCAGAGGGAGTGGGAGCAGGGAGCCAAAGCCCAGCAGAGAAAATGGTATCTGGGGAGCAGGACACAGTAGACACACACAGCAGCAGAGAAGAGAACAGTCACCCAGAGAGTGTGGTGGCCCTGACACCTGCCAGTTCCTCTGAGACCTCGCTGGCCATGTGCTACGGGGATGGTGAGCACCCCTGTGTCTCCACTGTGAAGCCTGTCTCTAGGCTTGCTCAAGAGGGCTTTTGTTGCTCACGGTTCAATGTCCTCCGACTCCGGGGCCCAGCCCTGGGAAATGGCAGCTCCCTGCCAGAGTCTGCGGCATCACTCACCAGTGTGAAGGGACCTGACCTTGTATTTTAATGGGTCCGACCTCGTCTGACCTGCCTTCTGGTACCCACGCCCTGGTGCCCTCAGGGTTTCCAGGGAAGCCTTCAGGTGATCCAGTTCTTTGTAAGACCTAATTTTGACCAAGAAGTCCACTCCCCACAAACGAGCAGGGAGAACAAGATTCAGGCCCCTCCTGACATCACCCCAGGTCTCAGTGCTGAAACTGGAAGAGCAGCGCATGCGGTCACCCTCAAACAGGTCAAGACGCGGAGAGTGCACACACAGCGCTGCTGTCCGCAGCAGCCTCACTTTCAAACGGGCTGGCCCCGTCTCGGCCCACACCATGCTTGTTGCTCTGACTTGGGGACGCCTCAGGGAGGAGCCTCCCCAGCAAGCTGGCCGTACCTTGTCCTGCCCGCTCATTCACTTCATCTGCATCTTGGAACTTGGTCACTTGCGTGAACAGGGTGGAGCGGTCCAGTGGCCAGTTGTTCCTCCGACAGGTGGCCTGCACCAGGGCTGTGAGGTAGGACTCTGGGATGTGCAGCCCCGAGAGCCACATCACGCTGGGCTCACTCTCGGTGACCTGGAGGGAAGAGAGGGAAGCTGGCAGGAGCCGGGGGCCACCATCAAGTGCCAGGCCCAGCGCTGACCAGACCTTTGGTTCACGATAAAAACATGGTTCACCTTGGCAGCAAAAAGCTGGGCGTGGGAACAACCAGGAGCCTGCTGGGGAAAACAAGCTGAACTGCCCGATTCCAGAAGGAACAAAGATTTAGATATAAAAGAACAAAGCCACAGAAGTACCAGATCAAATCTCCACTGAATGTTGTCAAGATCTTGGAGTTGGGAATGCAAAACCCAGAGGCCATACAAGAACAGACTGATATATTTGACTATTAAAAATGTAAGACTTTCTTACAGAAAAAAATGCCATAAGCAAAATCAAAAGGCAAGCTGGAGGAAACACAACAGTGGCAGGTACAGGGCTAATCTCCCTGATAGACAAAGAGCTCTAAAAGACAATTTTAAAATGGAGAATTCGATAAAAATGAAATCAAGACACAAAGATGTTTCACAGAAAAAGAAATGAGGTACACTCGGCCTCACCATTATCAAAGAAATGCACACCCAAATGTATTACTATTTACCTATCAGGGAGAAAAGATCCAAAATATTAAGAGCACACAGTGTTGCCAAGAGGGGAGGGAATGCTCGTGTTCGTTCACTGTGGGTCTCCACTTCTCTAGAAGACCCTCTGACCAGAGCTGGCACAATATGAAATGCACAGGCTGGGACCAGCTCTGCCGCTGGAGGGATTGGCCTGTGAAATAACACTCGTGCGTGTGACCACAGACGCAGGTGCCAGAGCATTGCCCATCCTGGCTAAAGAGAGAAGAAACTCAAATGGAACCACCTAAGTGTCCATCAGGGGAAAGGACGTGGAACACCTATAAAACAGAGTCCCCTGAAAAGAGTAAGTTCGATCTAAAGGTACTTGGAAGAACGACGGCCAAGATGGACTTCGAGATGAATAAATCAGATTGTGCATACTAGGCTTCACAGTCTTGAAAACAAAACAAAAAGGAAAAAAAATACAGGTATGCCTGTAGAGTCAGAGACCATTTCTAGAACACCCAATCAGCTGCGAACAGAAGGTACCACTTCTGTTGAGGAGTTAGAGAGGGGCTGGGGGCTGGAGGTGGTTGGGGGGCGGTCCAGGCTGAACCAACGAAGCAACAGTTGCCACTTGCTTACCCACGATGTGTACTGGCTGAACCGCCGCAGGAAGTACAGCATCCAGTTCCCGAGGGACTTCAGCGTGTCCGGGGCAAGCTTTCTCCAGATATTAGGGATTTGCCCGAGGAAAAGAGACCTGGCTACGTCATCTAACTCGTTGCTCATTCCAACTTCTCCGGCCAAGGCCTGTTTGCAGAATCAAGGGCAGTCAGGGGAGACCGTCAGAAACCTGGGTGGTGCATTGAGGCAGGGGTGTGCCTGTTAGAGACAAGCTCACCCTCTGAAGTTCAGCCAGAGACCTGGACATCCGTACAGCAAGCTTGTTGAAGCGTTCCAGCTCTTGCAGAAGGACCACCGACGTCGGGGAGATGCCCAGCCCGAGCTGCTTCCTGATCTGGTCCAAGTCAAAGATTTTGGGCATCTTGTTTTCTATGTCCTTGGCAACCTGGCCAATGTAATCATCTCGGCTAATGCCGCTGCTGGATTCCCCTAAAACCAGGACACTTTTTAGGGAAAGCAACACACCTGAGTGTTAGGACTGGGGCATCCTGAGCCTTCTGGTTCTTGGAAAAGCAGCAACAATATACAACCTACAAGAACCAACAGCACCGTGTGCCAACACCTTCCACCCTAGCCAGAGCAATTCTGTCCTCCGCAGTAGACTTCACCTGTCTGAGGCTGTAGCTCCAGCAAGTGGGCCCACATGTCCCGAGCCGCCTGAGTGTAATATCCAATCTCAGCATTGGAATGAAGACCGAACACTTCCGGCGTGTTGGTCAGCGGGAGGGCCTCAATGGCTTCTATAATCAGAACAGAGAATACACCGTCCCGCCACCCTCGATTTCCGAGGGCCCACCGCTTCAGAAATCCCCAGATATGCAAGACTAATTTCTTGCATGTGTTTTTAAATAAAAATTCTCTACCACCACACCCTAATCCAGCTGTATGTTTATCGTTTATGAGAACGGCTCACTGGGCTTCCCAGGGGCCACTCTGCCCTTCTACGCAGAATCTGGTATTTGTCTTCATCCTAGGACAGCAAATTTGAACTAACTCCCATCAGCGCTGAGGCTATAAAGAACGCACTGGGCCCCCTAAAAATCGTAATGGAGCATGCCCACCACCCAAGGACGCCGACCAGCAGAGGGGTCAGAAGAGCCATCAGGCCACCCATAGAAAAGAGAACAGCTGAAATGTGTGGTGGGTATCCCTTAGAAAACACTTTTAACATACATTTTGATGTCCAGGAAATCTCACCAACGAATTTTTCCTTTACATCACCAACGGGGATTTTGTAGTCTACTTCCTCATTCTGGAAGAAGTGGAACGGCTGGAAAGTGTCAAAAATGAAGTCTCCCAGGTACTCATCCATGTAGATGGTCAGGATGCGTCGATCAAAGCTGTCGATGGCCCGTCCTCCATACATGACCTAACGTACAGGGACCAAGAGCTGGCCTGGAGTACAGGAGCCAGCAGGGGACCCCTGAGACCGGACGTGCCCTCAGAGATCCTCCTGCTGGCCTGGCCACTGTGCAGCTCAAACCATGTCAATGGCAAGCCTTGCAACCACGGTGAACAAGAGCGCCCTCACAAAGTGTGGCAAGCCCATATGCCATTTGCCAAACCCCAGAACATAGTGAACAGACCACAAAACCACCAAAGAAGCCAGCTGCCACTTTGGTCTTTGCAATTGGTGATGTCCCTCTGTGTGCCACCTGCAGGCCATAGCAAGGGGGGGCTGTATAAAGTAATGGTCTCCAGGTGGCCCTCCATGCCCACCAGACAGGAGAAGATTACAATGACTAGGCCCAAGACTGTGCTGACCCCTACAGAACGCGGCCCCCATAGTGATGTATCCAGAGCCTGCGTAGAAATGGAGCCCAGCAACAGAAAGACACCCGTGCGATGAGCCAACAGAATTCCTCAGAGACCTAGGGCCTTCAAATGACGCGTGGCAGAAGCAAATGGGGAGTCACCAAGGGCTCAGAGGTGATGCGCAGGGCACCAGGTCACAGCCCACAAAAGACACTCCCACCTCTCCAATGAGGTACTTGAGGCTGCCCCACGGGATCCTAGGGTCATGTTGCTGGAAGGCTTTTGTTAGGTACGTGTTCAGAATCTCCATGCAGACCTTAAAAGAGGAGGGACAGGCATGGTTATACTCCACCCCACAAAGTCACTCACGCGCTGACCCTCTCCTGAAGTGTGGGTGGGAGCAGGCGGGCTGTCGTGACCTTGGAGAAAGGGTGGGGGAGACGAGCCGGCTGAGGGGGGACAGCAGCCACTGTGTCTTCACCTGGAAGTCAGACTCATTGAAGTCATAGTACACGTTCCACCCGATCTTCCCGAACTTTCTCCTCTCCTGCACCACGGCATGGAAGAATGCCAGCACGTAGACCAGCGACTTGAAGGCCGGGTGCGGACACTGCTCCAGCATGTCAGGAGAGATCTTGAAGTACGTTGCTCTCATGTTGAGTTTCAGCCCGTTGGGCGGCTCCGTAACAACCTGTCAAAAGACACATCGTGGCCAAAACCACAGACCCATGAGCCTGGGCTTGGAAGAGGCAAGAGGCAAACTGTAGATCTCTCCGCTTTCCCTTCACCTCTGTGCGGCCACCCTTCCCCTCCCCC